GAATTGTGATCAATAGTTTAATAGATATACCATCCATCGAGTGTCATATCATGCAGCTTCTGTCATGCAGTCTCATAGCAATTAGCTTTTGTCATAATTTCGCTAGAAGACCTAAACTAAGAGCATCTATAGTTCAGTTCTGTTAATCATATGATTTTGCTGTCTATTTTGTGAGCAATGAGGATCAATGTTTCCACTAGCTTCAAGCAACATTTAGTCTTTGGCATTCATGTACCTACCATGGAGTCTCGTAGCATTCAGCTTTTGTCATGCAGCTGCCTTAACTCAAGTTTCAAGTTTCGCTTTTGTCACATCACTTGAAGAGTTCAGCCCAGTTCATCATTCATCAGGCTGCACTCTATAATTAAGTTTCATTAATATAACTTCCATCGACTCTCGTAGCATTCAGCTTTTGTCATGCTATCTCAAAGCATATAACTTTTGGTACACATTCGCTAGAAGACCTAAACTAGGAGCATTCAATACATTTCTGTGAATCATATTTTTTTCCATTTCGTGAGCAATGAGGATCAATATTTCGACAAGCCTTTTTGCCATTGAAGTATCTACAATTGAGTCCCGTAGCATTCAGCTTTTGTCATGCAGCTGCCTTAACTCAAGTTTCGAGTTTCGTTTGTATCACACTAGATGACTTTAGCACAGTTTCATAGTCATTCACAAGGCTAGACAAGGATCTAGGGCCCTTTATTTAGCGAGCAATTATGATTCTTCCTTAAGTTTCATTAATGTATCTTCCATCGACTCTCGTAGCATTCAGCTTCTGTCATGCAGTCTCAAAACATACAGCTTTTGCTATACTTTCGCTAGAAGACCTAAACTAAGATCATTTACATTTCTGGGCATCATATAATAATGTTTTCTATTTCGTGAGCAATGATGACCAATATTTCCACAAGCTTCATAGTAGCACTCAGTCTTTGGCATTCATGTACCTACCATTGAGTCTCGTAGCATTCAGCTTTTGTCATGCAGCTGGCTCAACTCAAGTCATAGGGCTATATGTTATATATTTATATTTTTATTTATTTCACATATATAATTCATAATTCCAACACTTATAGCCAATACAATTTACCCATTTTAGCCTCGTTTTCCTTTAATTATTTTCATTATCAGGCAGAGGGCACACACCTTCAGCCAGCTTCCATTGGCTGCCTTTCTGTTGGCATGCATATTTTCCTGTTGGCAATAAAATTTGTTATGCTCCGCTAAGGCGGTTGCCACTGCCTGCAGCCGGCTGGCGCTTGCAGAAAACCTGCACCTTTATTTATATGCCGCAGTATTCCATTTTATTTATTTATTTTTTTTCTCTTTTTGCTGCGCCTGACCTTTGGCGGGGCCTATCGATTGAATGCGGAGGTGGGTGTGCCGTGCGACGCCTTGTGTTTGCCTTTATTTTCGTGGCAGCTGAAATGCCAATATTATTTCTTTTTCTTGTTGTTTTTGTTTTATTGGGGCGTTGCCAAACCTAACGAACGTTGCCTGCCTACCTTCATTGTTTGTCCAGAAATTGAACGAACAATTTCACTGCACGAATCTTATTTTCATCAGCAGGCAAACAAAAACAAAAACCAAACAAAAAAAAGAGAACTAGACACCATCAAAATAAAAGCAATGCAATTAAAACGCCAACTCAAAGTTTGAAAGTTGAAACAATAAAAACAAAACAAAATTTACAACAATTTTGCGGCTGGCAAATAAATTTCCCTGTCAAGTTTGTGGCTTAAGTCTTTTGTTTTCCCAGCATTAACTTGAAACAAAAACGGGGTCGGTCATCTAGAAGATTTGTTCCGCATGCGGTTTGAATTCTTAAAAACAAGTTAATTTTAAACTAAAAAACAAAACCCCACGAAAATTACCGAAAAAAAAAAAAAAAACACAAAACAACAATAAAACGATTCATGCCACAAATTAGAATAAATGTTTCTTGATGGAAGGTTTCTGCGGCCAAACTGAAATCACATGGAGCAAATATCAAATTGTCTCTGTGGAGGCCAAAAGCGAAAAATAATTGCCAAAACAGTTTTTTTTTTTTTTTTTTTTTTTTTTTTTTTTGGTAACACTTGTCGAGTGGGAGACTTGCAGTCATGTTTCAGTTACGGCATAAATTTTAATTAAAATAAAAATAAGCTGAAGTCTTCCAATGGAAATAAAATGACAGTCAGACTGAGACAGAAGCTCGTGAATTTTTCCGCATTGCGCTGAGGCTTAAGAGTGGAATTATCACACATAAATCACAGCGAACAGTCGAGCGCGGGCCGCCAAGAAGTGGCAAGCGGTCAAATCTTTTCTTTTCGCCTGTCGCCCGACATGACATTTCACTTTCATTTCCGAAGTCTCTCGGTGTGTGTGTGCCTTGCATTCAAATCGTTTTTATTTGGCTGTTCCTACAGTAATTCGCATTCGGTAATAAATGCCCGAAAGTAAAATGTATCGAACGTTTGTCTCAAAACTTGGCAACTTGAAATCATAAAACACAAAAATCAAAATTAAATTAAAATAACCTAGTAAGCGTTTAAAATAATAAAAAATTCACTTGCACATGAGCTAACGCCCCCTGCCATTGGGCATATAATTATCTGTGTGTGTGTGTGTATGTGCATTTGTGCACCACTGTGAATAACAGTTAATGTGTAGAAGCAAGGCAAAAGAAAGCGCGCACTCATAATTGAAATAAGTCACGTTCATGTTCATGGCAGAGTCACAGATACGAAAAGTGATTTGTGATACGATATACATATACACATATATATACATATATGTATGTATGTCTACCTCTCCAAGTTTAATTGAAAATTAAATGATTTTTACCTTAAACGAAATTTGAATAAAAGCAAAAGTCTTGCGTCTGTCAGGCATCAATATCGAATCGAAAGCTTATTAAATTCATAAATTATACAATCCGAATTGAAATTTCTATTAATAATAATTACTTTGCAACTGGGCTTTATATAATATACATCTCTTGCTAAGACCATCAATTGTCGCTTTAGTGTCAACAGCTGTCATTGTCGCTTATCTGCCAGCAGCTGTTTTATATAAGCCGATTTCCGCACGTCCTTGACTTTACTTAGTTTTGGTTTTGTTTTTGTTTTTGTTTTAGCCAGGCAATTGCATAACGAGAAATGTAATTCAACTGAAGCTTTGCACAGTAGGCCAAACGCAAACAACTTGGCTCTCTAATCTATTTATCACATGGCCAATTAATTTTGATTAGATTCGCAGCTAATACACTAAAAAACAGAAACAAAAACAAAAACAACAAACGTCCAACGACGCGCAGCTAAAGCGAATGCTGATAAGAAAATAAAATAAAGCGGAAGACAAAGCTCGACAAAAAAGCAAATAAATAACGAGTTGAGTGGCTCTGGATAAAACTGCTAGACGAGCGAATACCCTGTGCGCCAGTTGGCAATCATAAATAGAAGCTCGAGTTTTTATCTGTATCCAACTATAGAGAGTGAATAGCTCTCTATATTACATCTAGTTTAGTGTAATAAATAGAAATAATGTTTGTAGGTGTTACGAGAGTCCACGTAAAGAACTTCGTACCCGAAGATCAAGATCAAGAGCAGGCAAACAAGATCGTGCAATCAACATGAAGAGATCAAATTTTGACCCCTTTATTTTGCTTTCTTGAGCTTGCTCTCTTGATCTTGATCTCTTGATCTTGAGCTCTTTATCTATGTGCTCTATGTTTTCGCGGTTCAAGAGATCAGGCGTGTAACAGCAGCCAGAGGAGCGTAAATGAAAATGGAACAATAATTAAAAAAAAAAAAAATTTATTTCAATTAAAAAACATAATAAAAATCCCCTTTGACCACAAGGCGAAACTATTTCAAATTGTAATAAATAAATTTCAGGAAAAAATAGGAGCTTTAAAAAAAGTAGATAAAAATACGATAGTATTTTTACGACAGTATTTTTTAAGTAAATAAAAAAACCAACAATTTTTTTTTTAAATGAATGTAAACTCTCATAGTAGATTTTAGGAATATGTTTTTAGAAATGTAAATAAATTTGATAATATTTATTGAACATTATTAAATCATTTGATTGTGTTATATAGTACAAAGAGGGGCATTTAAATTTGGATTTATACGACCGGCATTTAGAGTTGAATTTGTTACAGTTTAATGTAACTCTTCGTGGGCTTGTTCGTTCGTGTCAACTCTCACTGAGGTCGCGCTCCTTGGGCTCGTAGCACCCGAGCTCGCTCTTCATGGGCTCGTGCCACACGAGCTCGTGCTCAATAGGGCGGGCCCTGTAGACTCGCTCACTGTGCGCCTATTGAAGCTGAGCAAAAGCAGAATCAACACAATGATAATTTTATACCGAAAGAGAGCAGCTTTACGTTGTATTGGTGATTCTACGAAAAATTAAATTTTATATTTCTGATCGCAATCATTTTTGAGAGCACAATAATAATGGACGAGCAGAAAAATATTTCTTATATAATTAAATCATGCTCTTGATTGCAAAGACACACATGAGATTTAATTAAACCTATATATGATATACCCGAACTATATATTTATATATTAAATATACTCATATACAAGCCTCATCTATTCTATCAATAAACTTTTAAAAATAACTACACACTCCATCAAGCAACTACAGTCTACAGGGTATTAAAATAAAAGCATACCAAAATCCAAGCACGAATCAAATAAGAAAAGCAAATAAATGTTACGAATCATGATGTAACAATGAAAGTGCAAGAAACGCTCAAGAAAAACCAATCAAAAGCGGAAAAAAGGGTAGCCACAGAAACGTGATCAATAGCAACAGCGCAAATAATCATGTCAAAAGCAATAACAACAATAAATGCCATCAAATGACTCGGGGAGTGGCCGAAAGCCCATTAGAATTTCGGATAGCTTGAATTTGGGTTCCATAAAATATGAGCTCATCTTAAATATATATATATATATATATATATATATATATGTCTATTTAAAGTATTCTGAACTCAC